AAGAGATCATTTGAGTTTCACACTGAGCAAGGGATTCATCTGCACCACAGTCCGTTCAAGTACCGCAGGAAATCCGAGTGGCAGGAAATCAGTTTCTCCATTCTCCTACAAACAACTGCATTCTGGGTAAACCCTCCACCGAATGAGACAAACACTGGAACACCCCACACCGACTGGAGTCAAAGATTCAACCACTTTTCTGGAAGCGTGAGTCTGCAAACCGTTTCTCCTCTTCAAGTTCGAGAATCAATTTTCCCACTGAACCTGAACTAACCGCAGTGTCTTCCCCTCACCTTTCAGTTCCGGTTGAGCAGTGTCCAGAGCAACACTGGAACCTCCACCGGCTTCTCAATAAACCTGTTAAAGTTTTTCTCAGGTCTCTCTGTAATGGTTTCTCTGCATGTGGGTCAGAGGATTTGATAAAATCATGACAGGAATTTGTTGTGATGAATGAAACACTGATGGATCTTATAAACAATCACATGCAAAACAAATCAAAAAGAAGACATCTATGCAGCATCTGGCTCTGCCTGGTGGATGATTTAACACCTGAGCGTGGGAACATGTATCCTTATTAATGAGCTATTTGCTAATTACGGGTCCGCTTATAACAAAAATAAATTCAATAAATCACCCAAGTTATTATTAATAGACATAACAAAACTAACATACATTTAATCAATATTGTTCATAGGACTCTATGAATAAGCTGCATAATGCTAACGTGATGCTAACTGTCTGGTTCACCTGCAGACAGGTCAGTCCAGGCAAGGCGACGTTCTTCTCGAACGCACCAGCAAAGCTAAAAATGGTACGGCAACACCTCAGCCTGCCTGAGGCTTCAAACATCTCAGAGTTTAGCTACGGTTCTACGTCTGCAGGCTAACACCCATAGAGGCTGCAGCCATGTCCACTGACAGAAGAGAATAAACACAGGTAGATATCCAGGCTGATCATTTTCTCTTTGCGTTAGAGATCAGTAAATAACTGTACTCACAAGGATCCTGAATCTTCACAC